CTGGAACAGGCTTGAGGGGTCTGTGAGCTTCAGACCGAGCCCTAGCTCGACAATTGGCCTCATGAACAGGATTAGTAGCTCTACAATTGGCGCTGTGAGCAGGATTCTGACATTTATTAGAGCACCACAGGGGCTGAGACTGCAAGGATCCTCACGGTCTTAGACAAGTCAGGGTCAAGGGCTGGAGACCCAGGAGCACCAGGGACTTAGCAGCATCATGCCCCCTTTCGTGGTTTCTCAGCCTGGGATGGGACAGGACATGGCACCATCCACCCAAGACTGCAAGTGGGTGCTAGGTCACATGTCCATCCCACCTGACCCCTCACCTCCTCGGCCACCTCAATACTAAACCCCTCCCACCTTGGCCCTGAACTCCTTTTCTCTGTCTGCAAGGAGCCCTGTACCCCAGGGGACCCAGCCTGGGCCAGCCCTCAGGCACATATCCCAGGACCCTGCCAGAAGAGCTGTGTGTTGTGCCTCAGAAGAGCCTCTTTCCCTCTTGGTGTGTTGGTGATTCTAAGCACAGGCTGAGAAATCATCATCTTTATTATCCATGGAGAGGGCAAGGAGGCGAGCTGTGTGTTGTGCCTCAGAAGAGCCTCTTTCCCTCTTGGTGTGCTCGTGATTCTAAGCACAGGCTGAGAAATCATCATCTTTATTATCCATGGAGAGGGCAAGGAGGCCAGTAAACGGGAAACCGTTCTGAGGATGTAATTCCCCCCAGCCCCCCAACCCTGCCTGGGAAGGCAGGTCTGAGGGGCTGTATTCATTGCCCACCCTGAGAAAAGGAGGATTAACCCAGGAGCCCCCAGGTGTCCCCTCCCTCCTGGGGCCCCAGTGCCCACCCCAAGCTCCAGGTGGGGACCAGCACAGCCATTCCACCTCCAGGCAGCGTCCCGGGGTCAAGGCCTTGCAGGCCAGCCCGTGTGGGCCTGAGACAGACTCCATGCGCTCCCTGAGGCAGGTCAGGAGGGGGCCGTGCCCTGGGGCTGGCTTGGGGCTGACACTGAAGGCCTCTGGGATGGAAAATCCTGAGGGAAAATGGGAGGCAAGGATGGAGGATGTCATCCATTTCCCCACCCCCAGGGGGGCTCAGGCCTCCTATTATCTGGGAACTTCTTCCCATTCGGGGCCTCTGGGGTGCAGGCTGGAGTGGGCTGCGGACAGGGTGGAGGGTGCCACTCAACCTCCCCACTCCTAGTGACCTAGAGGCCGATGCAGGCTGGCTACAGAGAGGGTGGAAGTCCCCTCTGCTCCCCCCACCCGAAAGAGGTCGCCCAGCTCTTCTTAAACATGGGCCTCTTGAGGCTCCCAGGGCTGTTTGGAGCAGGGCTTCAGTGTCTGGGGGTCGCTTGGGGTGGGGGTGCCCACCTCTATCTGGCACAGGTCGAGTAGGGTGCGGACGCCTGCCAGACACCAGAGCTCGCCCAGCAGCGAGATGAGGACGCCCAGGACATCCAGCCAGCAGCCCACGGTCAGCAGCAGCACGAAGAGGCCACCCATGCGCACCAGCACCGTCTGGACGTAGCTCTGCATGCCGGGCTGCTGCCGCTGCTCTTCTACAGGACGCAGGCACCTGTCACTGCCTGCTCACCACATCCCAGGCCCCACACGGAGGTCCAGCTGTGGCCAGGCCTGGACCTCCTAGTTCCCTGACCCTTGGCCCCACCCCACTCTCTGGACACCTACAAGGTGCCAGGCACTCTGTCTCCCAGGACTTGCTGCCCATCCCAGAAGTCTCCCACTGGCTTAGGACGGAGCCCTGCTAGCCCCAGTGGCAGGAGTCATCCCAACTCCTCTCCAAGCTCTGTCCGACTCTCCGTCATGCACATCCTCACTCCCACTGCCCCACCCTGGCCCCAGCCACCTTCCCCTCTCACAGAAGCCTCCTTGCGGAGCTCCTGGCTTCCATTCTTGACCCTACAGTCTGGTGTCTGCTGACCAACTAAAGTGACCTTCTAAATACATCGTCTGAGTGAAATCATTCCTCTGCTCATAACCCTCCCAGGACTCCGCACTGCATCTGGAGTAAAAGGCAAACACTTCCCCTGCCTTACCAGGAGGTCCTGCCACATCCGGCCCAAGCCCACTCCCCAGCTGCCCCTGTCTCTGACTGGCTCCCCCTTGCTCACACCCCCCAGCCATCTCCAGCAAGCCAAGCTCCTTCCCACCCCAGGGCCTTTGCACTTGCTGATCTCTCTGCCTAGACCGCCCCTCCTTGCCCTGCCACTTCCACCCCACCCCCACTGTGCAGCCAGGAGGCTCCCCCTAGAGCCCAGATCTGACCAGGTCCTTCTCCCCTGCTTAAAACTCTGCAATGGCCTCTCATCAGACTTCCAGCCTCACCTGGCCAGCCTCATCCCGTCCCTGTGCCTTTGGAGTGACAGCGGCGCTGGGCTTGTGCCAGTTGTTTGACACAGCCATGCCCTCTCTCACCTGTGGGCTTTGGCATGCCCAGCCTCACCTGGCCAGCCTCATCCCGTCCCTGTGCCTTTGGAGTGACAGCGACGCTGGGCTTGTGCCAGTTGTTTGACACAGCCATGCCCTCTCTCACCTGTGGGCTTTGGCATATGTGCTGCTCTGCCCACGGTCCCCTTCTCCCCTTGCCTCTGTGAGGGAGGGGCTGCTCATCCTTCAAGGCCCAATCCAAGTGCCAACTCCTCAGGGCTCCCACCTCAAGCCACACCCTTCTCTAAGCTGCCCCACTGTGTGGCTTATGCCGCTAGACCGGGCATTCTGAGATGGCAGGGGAGAGGTCTGACTGTGGTCGCCTCCCCAGAGCCTGGGCCAGACAGTGGGTGGGAACACTGATGGAATGAACCCAGGACCCCACCTGCGGCCCTCACCCTGCATGTAGATGACCAGCAGTGTGTAGCAGATGGTGAGGGGTGTCCAGAAGCGCATGGCCTCCGAGGTGGTCAGAAAGTCCTGGTTGATGAGGGCCACAGCTGCCAGGTCTCCCACAGCAAAGGCCACAGCCAGGGCACGGCCCAGCAGCTGGGGGAGGCTGTGAGCGCCAGCCAGCAGGCCCAGGCAGATCCCACAGTAGTGCTGGCTGCTGTGTAGCTCGTAGAGGTGGCAGACATGGCGGTGGAGGCGTCGGGCACCCGTGCCCAGCAGCGCAGCCAGCCCAAGGCTCAGCAGCAGGTTCAGCGTGCGGTGAGGGGCGCCCTCCTGCAGGAAGCTCAGGCCACAGGTCAGCCCACAGCCCAGAGAGTACTGGCACAGCATGTAGAGCTGCAGTCTCTCGGTGCCCCGGGAGCCCTGCGGGGGAGGTGGCAGAAGAGGGGCTATGATGGTGGGCTGTCATGGTACAAGATGCTCCACTCTAGGGGATGCTGAAGACTGAAGGGACCTTGGGGATTGTTCCCAAAGAGGGAATATTGGCTTCAGGTTGAGTCCTAATGGGGTAATTTCTCTTGCCTTAATTTCAATCATGTCTTATTACTTGGTACCCGTCAGTTAGCTGAAGGGTGGTGGATCAGAGCCTGGAAGACTTGAGTTCAAAGCCTGACTCAACTCCCTGCTGGCTGTTGACCATGGACAAGCCCATATTCCCTCTGACCCTTAGTTTCCCCATCTGTGAAAGCAAACCTTTACCCCCTGTGGTTGGGAGGATTAAATGAGATAACATGCTCAAAGTATTGAGCGCAGGGCCTAGCATTTGGGAAGCTCGAAACACGGGAGCTGTCACAATTACTTTCTTAGGACTAGGGCTGTGTCTGCTGCAAGTGCAGACTTTGTTTTGGCAACCAGATCCGAGGGAGCAATCTGTAACCTCTCCTCTTAGTCTTACAGGTAACAGGGTGGTGAAGAGATGGGACGCTCTAGTTGGGGGCAGCTTCCATGTCCCAGGGTGAACACTGGGGCCTGGGGCTAGGGAGTGACTCCTCCTCCCCCTTTTCCCACAGTCTCACTTTGCCCAGGGACAGCAGCGTGGACACAGCCCGAAGGGAGAATTCAAGCACCACGAGGGCGGCCACCCGGGCCCCTACGACGGTCAGGAACAGGGCCAGCCCTGCCAGGTGCACCATCTCCAGTGAGGCCCAGTGGGCCCGCAGCCGCTCCTTTTCCGGCCGCCGCTCCGGGTCACTGTGCAGGCAAAGTGGTTGTGGGTGGAGGTGCAGAACCACCAGCCTCAGCCCCTGGAGGGTGTCCCGGTGCCCCCAGCCACACTCCCTGGGGTGCAGGGGTGGTCTCTTTCCCCCAGTCCTCTCCATTGAGGCCAGAGTCACAGCACAGGGCCCAGGGGCCTGGCAAGGGTCTTAGGGTGGGACAAGGAGGTGGGCACTCACTTGGCACAGCCCACGAAGAAGTAAACTTTCAGGAGACTGTTCAGGACCAAGACTCCGAAGGCCCCAACGAGGCCTGAGAGGAGCAGGAGGGAGGGAGGCAGCAGACGCAGAGTGCAGGGGTGTTAGGAGGGCAGGCAGGCCTCTAGAGTTAGAGGAGGGGGCAGCCGAGGAGGCGGGAGACCCTGCACTGCACAGAGCTGGCACCGAGGGGGTGGTGCTGTGGCGGGAAGGGGGAGGAGGCGCTCACCTTGCAGGAGGGAGTCGAGAAGGCCGGAGCCCCACTCGAGGGAGGGGAGGCCTGGGAGCCAGGAGGGGAGGGAAGGCAGGGAGAACATGGCAGCCCAGCCCGGGATCCAGCCCCAGCTTCCGGCTGGATCTGGGATCTGCACAGGGACAGACCAACAACGTCACAGTCACAGGGCAAAGGTGTCAGTGGAGGGGAGCGGAGGGAATGGGAGGGGTCAAAGGCCCAGGGGAGGGGAGGGAGGGAGAAAGGCAAGGTCTTAACCCCTCCAGGCCCCAGGAAGGCAAGGCGCAGCTCCAGGGACAAGGGACATTAGGAGCCACCTGCTTCCTGCGGTTCCCCATTTGGGCAGCGTGGAGTGAGGGGGTATCTCTGGGGCTGGTCTCTGGTCTCTGTTCCTGCTACTCTGGCATCCACTTTTCTTACCCTCCCTGAGGCCTCGAACAACACACTGTCTTCCTGAAGCCCCAGGCCTCCATCCGTCAGTCCCACCCCAGCCCTAGGCCTGGGTGCTGTCCTCTCTCAGCCCGAAGTGTGGGCTCTGCACTCTCCGCCTCAGGTCTGAAAGTAGGGAGGTCTATGCCCCCCACAGCCAGAGCTGAGCTGCTGCCCTCTCAGCCTGAGGTCTGGGGGCCTCTCCCCCTATAGCCAGAGGTCAGACACTGATGCCTCTTCGTGAGGTGTGGTAGCCAGCTTCCCCGTAGCCTAGGGTCTGGCTCTGACCTCCCGGCCTGGGGCTGGATCCCATTCTTAAGTCCAGCCTGGGTCCTCCCCTCCCGCAGCCATGGAGCTGCCTGTCTTGAGGTTCCTCCCTGTGTCCACTAGGTGGCAGGCCTCGCCTGGGTCAGCCGGGGTGGGGCTGTGCAGCTGGAACCCTTTCCTGCCCTCCTGTCTCAGAGACAGCAGTGAGCCAAGGGCAGGGGTCCAGGGAGAGAGACTGAGGCTGCCGTGGAGGGGCTTCGTTGAAGTAAACAAAATAGAAAACTTTATTGGTTTGGAGTGTGCAGCAGGGAGGGTGTTTCTGGGGAGCAGCTGTTCACAGATGTGCAGCATGGCAGGGGAGGTAGTTGGGGTTGATGGACCCCAGGCCAGTCCTACCCCTCCCGGGGAGCTGGTGTTCACCTTTGTAGTACCAAGGTCAGTGTGGCCCTTAAGGACATGCCATGGCGGGAGTATTGCTGCAGTCTGGAGAGAGGGCCCAGGATCTGCCATTTAGCCCAAATGCAAACTCTGCTGTGCTGCTCACCCTGGCACTTCCCCTCCCTGGGCCTCAGTCTCCTCATCTGAACAATGGGCATCCCAGAGCTCCCTTTCACAGTTGTCATAGTACGTGCAAATGCGCACAGTGCAGGGCACCTGGGAGGCCCTCAATAAAAGCCTGTGCTTAGATGATGTTAAGGGCTGAATTGTGTCCACCCCAATTCATATGTTGTAGTCCTAACCTGCAGTACCTCCAGATGTGACTGTATATGTAGAGAGGGTCTCTAAAAAAGGTAGTAAAGTTAAAATGAGGTTATACGGGTGGGCCCTAATCCCACATGACTGATGTCCTCATAAGAGGAGGAGATTAGGACAGAGAGGCACAGAGGGACAACTGTGTGAAGACACAGGGAGATGGCGGCCATCCACAAGCCAAGAACAGAGGCCTCAGGAGAAACTAACCCCTCTGACACCGTGGTTTCTCAAACTTCTAGCCTCCAGAATCCTGAGAAGATAAATTTCTGTTGTTTAAGTCCCCTAGCCCATACTTTGTTATGTAGCCCCAGCAAACAAGATGGATGACGTCGCCACCGTGCCCCGCGACTCCCCACGTGTGCAGCAATCCCCGAGGGGCCCTCCAGCACCGTGGTCCTGTACGGTCGTGCCCTTGCCAAAGGCACCGGTTGGGGGTGGGCAGAGATGAGTTCCAGTCCTTGCACTGCCACTTCCGAGCTGTGTGGCTTTGGTCAAAGTTATGTCCCCTGTCTCAGCCTCAGCTTCCCTGTGGTAAAAGAGGATTTTACCTGTGTCTTTCTGCTGTTTGAGGACTAAGCGAGCTGATGCATGTGTCACTCAGTTCATGGTGACAGTCGTGCCCACAGCAGTTATCATAACAAGGATTAAGCCTCTAGGACTTGGTAACCCGGCACAGAGAACTTTCTGGAGAACCATCAGTGGTCATTTGGAGTGGTTGTTCTGGCCCTGAGTGGGCTGGGTTCATCAGAGCTGTCCACACTCTCCCTGGACCTGTGGCCACTCCTGGCCAAGTGCCAGGCTGTGTCAGGATATGGGGGTGAGGGACACCGCCTAGGTGCCCTGGTGCTGGGCCCGCTTAGCCAGTTTCCGTAACTCGTCCCAAAAGAGCATACTGAGGATGGTGTGGGGGCCCAGGCGCAGGTAGGAAGGGCCCAGACCCTTGTAGAGCGCCAGGGGGCCCTCCTGCCGCCAGATCTTCACCAAACAGTCGATGAGGCCCCCATACAGCTGGCCCTGGGGATAGACATGGGGTGGGTGTCACTACAAGGGCCCTGAGGCCCTGGCTGGCACGATCAGGTGTGTCTGTGTGTTCAGGGCTTCTGTTGGCACATCAGAAAAGGTACCCCCTCCCCAACCCAGCTGGGCAAATTACAAAAAGGTGGCCCTCTAGGCTGTGACACTGGAAAAGGGGCCTCTTCCTCCAGGCAGCCACAGCCCCATGCCGGGGACTCAGCTTGGCTAGTGGCACCTGGGTTGATTTCACCCCTAACTCACCCTGTGGAGGGCACCCTTGTATTGGGCACATCTGTGAGGCCGGCAGGCCGCAGGAAGGCCAAGGGTCAGGCCTGGATTCCAGTTCTGGCTCTTCCACTTACCAGCTGGGTGACCTCAGGTAAGTCACTTGATCTCTCTGAGCCTCAGTTTCCGCATCAGGAGAACGAAGGTGGTTGTCAGGATGGAATAAAATCCGGATGTGAAAGTGCTTAGCTCATGCCTGGGACACAGGTACTCAGCAAACAAGCCCAATTATGTGTTTGCATGTGTGTCATGTGTCTGTGGCTGTGTGTGCATGTTGCGGGGTGTGCTCCTGGTTCCACACGTCCTCCCCTACCCCCATCCCCACTCACCCTGCCAGCTTGATCCACAGGTTGATTGTATAGCCGCGTACTGACCACATCAAAGGGGGTCATGACGGCAACAACGGCCACGCTGCTGATCATGCCCCCTGCCAGGGCCTCCAGCCAGCTGTCCTCTGGGAGCCACTGCAGGGATGGCACAGGCTGCTGACTCCTGTACCTGCCCTCTAACCCCTGCACATGGGGCCGAAAGGCTGGGATAAAGGGAGCAGTTGAGGCCCCTCTAGCTGTTCCCACCCCCCACCCAGCTCCTTCACAGTCTCAGGGTTCACTGCTGGGCCCCCCGCCCCCTGCTGTTGGGCCCAGGGGCAAGGGCACAGTTATGAGGCCCCATCTGTTGCCACCCCCTGGACTTTAGGTGGCCCTCCTGCCTCCTGTGTGTGTGTGTGGATGGGCACAGGTGTCCCCAGTCCCTCACCTGTCGCTCCTGCACCCAGGCCTTTGCGGAGGCAAAGGTGGCCAGCTGGGCAGCTGAGCCCACTGTGACTCGTGGCACAGCCCCACCCACGCCCCGCCATAGCCCCAGTGGGCCCTGCTGCCGCCAGATGGTCTCCAAGGCACCTAGGACACTCTGCGGGGAGAGGGCATGGGTCACTGAACAGCTGCTCCCCAGCCTGGGAGCCTGTCCAACCCTGGCCCCCCAGGGAGCTCTGGGGAGTGGCAGCCCTCACCTGGTGATTGTGCTGGTGCCCCACGGCCATCATGGCCACGGTCTGGGCCTGTAGCTGCGTTTTGATCTGTGGGAGCAGAGGGGACAGAGTTTGGGGATGGAGCCTGGGAAAGCCTGGATGAGTTGTGTGTGTTGAGCCCCTCCTCCCAGTGCACCTGAAACCCAGAGCTCCGTGATCCATGTCTGCAGCTTAGGGGGCCATGTATAAAGGGGTTGAGGGTGAGGTATCTCGGTGTGACTTGGGGCAAGTCACTTAACCTTCTCTGGGCCTCAGTCTGGCAACCTTGAAAAGCTGTCCTGAAGATTAAGTAAGATGATGACTACAGCACTCGGCCTAGGACGCGGCCAGCCCTTGCTCAACAGTAGCTTTTATTCTTAACTTGCACAAGACCACACAAGAAGAAAAGTGACCAAGCTATGAGTTGAGCCAGCAAGTCTCCTGCCACCCGCTACCCCCTCCCCTGGCTCAGGACCAGCGTGGCAGGGTCTCCAGGGGAGTGAGGATCAGGGCAAGGCCCTGGTGCCATGGTCCAAGGGGCAGATTCCAGGCTTGGGCTGGGATGTTCTGGGGAACAGTCCCACCCAGCCTACCCTTCCCTGCCTACGTCCACTGAGCACAGCCACTGGAGGCTGCAGAGCCCCTGAGGGAGTAGGTCACGGGGTGGTGGAGGATGGAGAAAACGTACTCACCAGGTAAGCAGGGCTCCCCACGAAGGCTCCCAGTGCCCCAGCCACAGCACCCGCGACCATGGTGCCACCTGGCTGCTGGGTGAAGCCAGTCTGGCACGCCAGGCTGTAGCAGTAGAAGCGGACACCATTCATGAGGCCCTGGTACAGGAGGCCGGCAGCCAGCCCCTTCTGCAGGCCCCACAGCCCATCTGCACGGGCCACAGCTGCGACAGAGGCCACAAAGCCCCGGTAGGGCCGTGGGTAGGTGCCCCGGGCTTGTAGCTCCCCCTGCAGTTGCAGCCGCGTCTTCACCACCTCCAGAGGATTGGTGAAGACACAGGCCAGGCAGCAGGCCGAGGCACCCAGCACCAGGTCCACAGCTGGGGGTACCGTCTCCATGGCCTCTGTGTCAGAGGCCGGCTGCGCCCGGGTCAGTGGCACGGCACCAGCCGTGGGGTGGTGTAGTTTAGGCTGTCCTCACCCCTGCAGGGCCATGGTGCTGGGGATTGAGGGGGCCTTGGGCCATGTCTAAAGGGCAGGGGTCCTAGACGGACAGGCCCTCAGCTGCCTGGTTCCCCCTGGTCTGTCTCCGGAGTCCACTTGCTCTGCTCAGCCGACTGGGTCTGCCGGAGTTTGGGACACGCCCCCAGCCAGGTCTGACCAATCCCAGCTGCCTCTGTCTCCCACACCTCCCCACTGGGGCGGGCCTGGACCCTGGGATCTGGGGGAAAGGTCGCTTAGGACTGGAGGGAGAGTGGGGGTGGGGAGAAGGTGCCAACCAGCCCAGGCACCTCTTCCTGCCTCTCTTGTCTTTCTGCCCTCCTTCTGGCCCCGGGGCTAAGGGCTGGTGCCCCTGCCCTGCCTCTGGCTTAGCCCGTCCTGCTCCAGCTCAGCCCTGGGCATGGGGAAGTGCCTCGGGAGGTTCTGGCAGAGGGTGCGAGGGCAACTCAGCAACAGCCCCACCCCTATCCTGCCACGGCCTGTGGGACCGCCCCTTTCCAGGCCTCAGTCTCTGAGAGCGCCGAATCCTAACCACTAAGCCACCAAGGAAGACATCCAAGTCTCAGTCTCTGATCTGGCTCTCACAGGCTGTGGTCCCACTTTCAGCAGAAGCAGGGGCAGGGATGGGCTCTGGAGCCCTGGGCAGCTGACTTGGGATCACAGGTGCTGCTACTGTGACCCCAGACATGTCACGCTCTCTGAGCTTCAGTCTGGCTCATTTGCAAAACAGGGACGCTGAGACCTACTTCAGAAGGTTCTTTGCAGGACTGGGGATGTGAGAAGAGCGTGCCTACCACGGTGCTTTGCCAATAAAAGGTGGCCTACATCCCCTGCTGCCTCTGGCTCCTGTGGGCCCCTTCACTGCTCCCCAAGACTTCAGAGCCCCTGGATAGGTAGGAGATGGAAAAATGAGGCCCACCGTATCTTGAGGAGTGGCCTTGTGGGTTTAGTTGCTCGCCTGGCAAGGACTTGCCCACCAGGCCCACCCTTCCTCCTGGTGGAAGCCCCTCCTGGGTTGGGCAGCAGGCTCTGCCCTCCCTGCAGGAGTGGCCAGCAGAGCAGGAGAGGCAGCCCTGAGACAGAAGTGCCCTTTGGGCCTGGGGAGAAGGGAACTCCCACCCCTGGGCACTGCTGTCAGGTGCTGGTTTGCTCAGGCTGGGGCCAGCACCCCCTACCCACCTCGGCCTCTGTCCCCAAGGCAGCCCTCTCCTGCCAGGATGCCCTGAATCACCCAAGTCCCAGTCAAACTCAGAGGCCGAGCCACCCTGCCTGGAGCCCGGTGCCTTTACAGCCTGCACCCACCTCTGCCAGGGTCCACCCCTTTCCTCCCAGGTGTGCAGTCCTGCAGACAGCAGTGCCGAGTGGCTTAAGGGCCCTCAGCTCCCCAGCAGGCTTGTCTAGGCCCCCGAGGGCAGCTCAGCAACAGGCCATAGGACAGCTTGGACTCTGCTGGGTTTGTTCCCAGCCCGCACTTACACCCCAGAGCTGTGGAGGCGGTGTGGGGGTGTGGGGGGGAAGGGGGCAGGAGTGCCCTGCCCTGGAGGCTGAGAGAGCAGTGCAGACATGCCCTGGGCCTGGAGCCTGTGGCTGCCCTGCCCCAGCCACTGCAGAAAACAGGAGGGAGGGCAAAGTTCAGGTCAACAAACTCCCAGGGCCTGAGTGCCCCCAGACGGTGAGTACCATGTGTCAGGCACAGAGCAATGATTGCAGAAGGAGGGGGTCTGGGAGGAGGGGCTGGAGACCACCCTATCCCCACCCTGTTCAAAAAGGGCCAGTGACAAGTCTTGGCAATATAACAGGTCTATTTTATTTTAAAAAACAAAACCCAAACCACCTGACCCCTTCCCTAGAGGGCTCTTGACAAAGCTCTCGGGAAGGGCCTGCTCCAGCCAAGCAGGGACAGTCAGGAGATGTCAACGTGGACAACAGGCTGGTGGGCTCCGCTCTTCTCTGAGTCCTTCCTCCCTCTCTTTTGCTCTTGGCAAAAGGAGATGCCTGCTCCCTGAGTCCTATGGGCACTGCCGGGTTAGGGGGAGGCAGGGCCAGTCCATGGGCATGCAGGGCCTCTGGCAGCCGGGGAGGGCTGGCCCTGCCACAGCCCAGGCTCTGCAGAGTGAGGGGGCAGCTGTGTGCGCGGGGATGGAGTGGGGAGGAGGAAACATGCAGACACCAGTGTTCGAGCTTCCCTGTACAGCCAAGAAAGTGTTCAAAAATGGACACAAATGGCTGGGCACTCAGGGCCCCCAGGCAGCCCCAAACCTCTTCCCAGGTTCTTGACCCAGAAGAGGACTAGGGGGCTCCCACCTCAGTCCTTTCGCTCCCCCTTAGATTGATATTATTCTTGTTGCCATCCTGAAGAGGTGACACAAAATGTGGTGGTGGCCCAGGGAGGAAGGCATGCATCTGCAGGGCCCCCAGGGCTCAGAACTCTGCCCCCAGCCATTTCCAGTTGCCATCTGCCAGGCAAGATGCCCAGGGTCCAGGGACACTTGTTCTGGATCCCTGGAAGTGGACAGACCCTGTCTGAAGCCACACTTGGTGGCTCTGCCACCTGGGGCAGGAGTGGCTGCAGAATAGCTGGAGGCCTGGCCCACGCAGCACGACAACAGCCACGACAGAAGGCCTGCTGGTCAGTGTACTTCCCTTTCCTGCCCACCAGGGACACCATCCAGCTCTGCTCAGCACCAGGGGTCCCGGGATGCCCTGCCGCGGCACAGGCTGTCGCTCCGCTGCCAGGTGCTGTGGATAAGGCTCAGGGCATCCTCAAATTTCTTCTTGTTGGAGGATTCCTGGATGGCCTTATGGGGGAGGTCCACCTGTGTCAGGGACATGCCAAGGACACGTAAGGGCTGCAGGGTCCCAACTCCGAGGAGCCATGGGGGCTCTGCACCAGGCCATCCCCGGCAGGCCCTCCCCCTAGGAACGACTTCCATGCAGCTAGATTCTTCTGCTCTCAAGCGGTGACCCCTGAGACCCTCCTCCTTCCTGGGAAGCCCCCAGCTCAGAATATCTGTCCTGAACTCTGCCTCAGGCTAGTCAAGAGCTTCCACGGGCCAAGAGTGCAGCATGTGTCAAAAGCCAGTTTGTCCTGGGGTTAATGAGCACTCTCCCATGCCAGAGTTAAGCTCAGAGGGCAAGGAGGAGTGTCCTTCCAACCTTGTGCCCTCATGATCTGTGCACAGCTCTAGGCCCACCATAAGCTCTTAGTTTGTGCTTTTTGATTGGAACTGAGGTCAGGAATTGAGTCTTGGGTTCAATTTTCAGCTTTAGCTTTAGACTCACTGGGAGTCAGTGTTTTGTCCCTTTGGTCCTAGGTTTTTGTATCTATCCCAGAGCTACTGGTATGGTGCTATCCCTAAGAGACTATGGGCAGGGCCAGGTTCTGGGACCAGCTGGAGACTCCTTTCCCAAGGTAATGGCTCCCACTCCACAGGGTCCCTGGGCAGCTAGGTACCTGGTAGATGGTTTTCCACCCGGAGTTCAGTGCAGATAGGAAGCGGTCCAGTTCAGAAGTGCAGCTCAGGTAGATGACCCAGGGTAGGAGGAGCTGCTGGCTGTCATGGGAGAACTCCTAGGGAGAGTCAGGGCCCCCAGGTGAGCAGACACAGCTTTCCTTCTGCAGGGTTTGGGGCCATCACCCCCGATCCAGCTCACCAAGACACAGTACTCCTTGTCCGGTTCTGTGGAGATGGCACTGATGTCCGCCAGCTTGGCTGTGCCCAAGGAGCGGAAGAAGCTGGTCTGGCAATCCTCATGGCACGTGAAGAGGCGGTCATCAGTGATCACCAGGCAGCAGGGGATGCAGGGGCTGGGAGCTATCCCCTGGGGGATGACCTGAAGGCATTGGCAGAGATGAGAGGGAGGGGCTCTCTGAGGGCTTGTCTAGGCCTGAGCTCCCCACTACAGGACTCTGACAGTCTTCCTCCCTCCTCCAGGGGTCAGGCAGGCTCTGCCCACCTCTGGAGTATAGGTGGGGAGAGGGGAGTGGTCCAGGCTGTAGGTGGCCTGAGCTCCACAGTCTGTTCCTGGGCTGCCCCATGGAGGTCCCACCTTGGTCCTCTCAGGTTGCTTGGTGACTGGTGTGAATATTGGGACAGGATCCTGGGGTGCTGGTCGGGGCAGGCAGGCCAGGTGGAAGCAGGAGCGGGAGGAGCTCACCCCTTTAGACACGGCCTGGCAGAGGTGCTGCATCCAGTCGGCCATCTCAGCCTCGCTGTCAGCGCTCAGCTCCAGGCAGGGCCGGTCGGCGAGAATGACCTGGAAGGCGTGGGGCCGGTCCGTGGTGTTGGATCTCCGGCAGCCACCGCACTGCTCCCCCCTGGGCCAGAGGAGGAGGGGTGAAATGGGAGTGCGGCGGGAGCATGGGCAGCATGGGCAGGGCCTGGGGCTGGCTCGAGGCCTGTGGACACGTGGCCTTCCCCACAGCCCGAGGGCTGGAGGACACTAGGAGGTTGCCCAGACCCTTCAGCTCTTAGGAGAGGCTCAAAGCAGCTCGGCCGCCCCACCTCTTTCTGTGTAACAGCTTTTATCTCTGGAATGGCAAAATTCTTCTAGATATCCAAACATAGCCAGGAGGGGGGGGAGAGTCAGCACTCGGTGCCTGCCCGCTTCCCACACTGGGTGTGCACTCATTCCTGCTTCCTCCTGCGGCTCGCTGTTCCTTCCCAGGCAGGGACTGCCTCCCCTATCAGAGTGGTCCCTTTCCAGGCAAGGAGACCCTCATTGCCTCCGTCCTCCCTCCCATGGGCTCCTCTCAGACCTCAGAGCCGGGCCAACGCTAGGCACCAGTCAGGGCCGCTGGACGGGGGTGGGGCTGAGGGAGAGAGGCTGAAATGACAGAGGAACAGCCATCTCAAAGCAGGGGACACAGGAGCTCTGGGCCCTGGGCTCAGCCAGGGCCTTGACCTTCAGCAGCGACGCCTGGCCCCAGTACCTGCCAGCTCCCTCCTCAACCTCCTGGGACACTCACCCCATGTTGACCGAGAGCAGGGGGATGACATCGGTGCGGTCGGGATACTGGTAGAGGATCCCGTTACTGCAGGGGCACAACAGGCAGGAGTGAGGCCTGTC